AATAATCTCATCATTTGCAACATTGCTCATGATATTTCTATTCCATTTATCGGATAAGTGAGGGAAACTAAATTATCAAACTTACACAAGTTAGTCTTTCTCCTATTTTCATGTTAATCAATAACTAGAAATGATAAGAGATATTTTAGTAATACATTATCATTGTTAATTTCTAATATAAAGTTAATAAACCTTATATATACTATTGTTTTTGATATTTTAAAGATATAAAAAAATAATAACAAATATCAAAGTTAGTGCAATAAAATCATCTTAATGTATACCTTAGCGTAATGGTAATGTGTTTTATTAGTGTAATCAAATTTGACCGCTTAATAATAGGTTTAATATAGAGTAATTTGAATTTTTTTTTAAATAGAATTAGTAATATTAAATAATATTTTACATTGAATTATACTTTTGTCTCTTATGTTTCAGCTCAGAGAAAATATACAATAAAAAATAATTATAATATATAAAATTTAGCAAATAAAATGCAAACATAAAGACACGAGTGATTAATATAGACAAGTCATCTCTTAAAACACATATCTATTTTTCAAGTTTTTTTATTTTTTTATTATCAGTCACAATAAAATATATTTTATCAATCTTTTAGAATCATAACTAAATTTATTTATCTTTCTTTTATTAAAATTTTAAGAGACGTTTGATACATGACAAAATATTTAATGCATTGAAATCATTATTCATGAAAATTATAAAAATTTATTTGATAGTTCATAAATATTTTTAGAAATATTTATAAATATTACATGAGAATCAATAATTTTTACTGGATTAAATAAATAAATAAATAAGATAACATAATGTATTTATTACATTAAAACTTTTTTTTTTATCTTGTAAAAGTTAGTTTATCACTTCTCCCCATGAAAATAATTTCGTCAAAAATTTATGTAAAAAATATTTTAAAAAATAATGTTTCTTAGGAATATAATTTTATAAATAATAAATCAAACATGAAAAATTAATATTTTTCATATTAGATTTTGAAAAAAAAAAAAAACTGTATACTAAACACTCCTTAATATTCTAATTAAAATTTAGTTGAATCATTTTCATTTACAACCCTTTCCTTTTCCGATCTCTCCGTTTGCAGATCTGGAATGGTTTCTTTATGGTACTAAACACCGACACTGAGTAAGACATATACATTCGTTCATTGATAGGTATATGATATTATAAAATAATATATATCCTTATATTATTATTTTATTATTATTACTACTATTATATTGTTATTACAATACGATATATATATATTTTTTCGAATGTTATAATATATTTATAATTTATTATGTTATTATAATATTATATTATTTATTAATACGCGCGACAGTACAATATTTATATCAAAATTTTCTATTTCTTAAAATTTATGAATAAATAATTTATTAAATATATTTTTTTAGATTTATTATATCTTTATAAAATATTACTCTTTTCATTTCATTATATTATATTATATTATGTAAATATATACTAATACAAATGAAATAGTATAAATTCTTAAATAATAAAAAATAGTTATTTTAACATAATATTATATATACATTTTATATTTATTATATTATTATGATATTATAAAATTATTTATTTTATTATTACTATTATTCTATTTTTATCTATTATTTTTTTCATAACGATACCTTTTTAATTTGTATTTATGAATCAAATAATAAATAACATATATAAATATTTTGACTTTCTATTATTTTATGCTATAATAATTATTTTATTAGATAATAAAAATAAATTTAAAATTTAGTGGACCAAATGATATATTCACAATTATTTTATTAATCTAATACAAAAATTAATTTTTTTTATAAAAGTAAGAAAACATTCATGTGAAAAATAATAGTTTTTGTATTTTGGTTCCAACAAAATGTTGTTCTAATAGCGCATTAAGTGACATTATATCTTTAATATTACTTAGAGGTGGGAGAATACATATTCCCACATTAGATAATTATTTGTGACATTCACATATGGAGTTAACTTGATTTATTTATTGAAATTAACGAAGTTGATATTACGATGCAACTTTAATAGCGGATAAATTTTGTTTTGAGACATTTGGATAAAACTCTAATGAACATCATGAAAGTAAATCATGATAATACTTCAACTTTTAAAAGAAAGATCAGTATCTTTGGTGCAGACTTTAGACAAATTTTATTAGTCATACTAAGATAATTCATTTAGATATTAATCATGCAACAATTTAATGCATCTTATATTTGAGAATTGAGATTATTGTCAAGTATTAACTCACAAAAAATAATGTTTTTTATAAAGCAATTTAGACAACTATCATAAAAATGTTACATATAATGACATACAAAAAGTTTCACAATAGATATATTATATATATGTATAAATTAATTTGACATATACTCATATATAATTTTAATGTTAATTTTGATTGAGTTTCAATAACATATATTATGTGTCACTACAAGCTATGCCCAACATTTTAACAGTCATGAGAAATATTTACTGACATGTAACAACATATAGTATATGTAAAAGTAATTTTTAATGATAAATATTATATTATTATATAGAGTATGTGGTACTATAAAACAATTTTTTTAGTGAACATAAGTGCTTTGAAACTCAATCAATTTTCACAATCAATATTAGATGTTGGAAATGAAAAAATGTTTGAACTAGAAGATGGATATGTTTCTATTGATATTTCACATTTTTTTATTAACATACTTTGATGATTTCACAACTACCATTGTTTAGAGCACATAACCTAACTTAATTCAACAAAACAAAAATAAGTTTGTTTTTGCAATGTAAAGATATTTTGGCATCCACTATTGAGATCATTAATCAAATTAGTCACTATGTTTTGTCTTTAATTCTAGGTATTTTATTGAATATGTTAATTGAATGCAAAATTTAATAGTAATACTAGATATATATTTTTTAAATTTTCTTTTAGTTATATTGATTTAGATTATTTTGAGGTGATGAAAAGGAATGTCAAAGTTCATGTTCAATTGACAAGTAAAAAACATAGACAATCAAATTAATATTTAAAGTCTTTCCAAGTAAATTCTCGGCACTTTGAGAACATCTAATCTTCCTAATTATAAAATAAAACTAAATTTGTGGCTCAATAATGGTGTAAAAAAATCTAGATCAGTCTGAAGAATTATGAGAATAATACAAGATTAGTAGTCACAAAACTAGGAGACAATGCCTAGTGAGACTACCTCTGATTTAGCTATAAAATAGATACGCATGAGAAAAAAACGAAAAGAAAAGACATCAATGAGATAAACTTTGATATTGGGAGAAAAACTAGCATCATATTTTCAAAAACATATTGTAAAAGTTTATTTTTAATGTTAATATAAAATAACTACATATAGGAAAGAAGGGTCAATTATTTTTTTATTTTTATTTTTTTATTTTAATAGATATATTTTTTATTTTAGTATGTGAACCTTAATTCACACGTGTTGTTTAGATGTTAAAAGATCATTTGACATGATGATTGAAATCTAACTTCTATAAAATATCATGTCCATCAAAAGTAGTTGGAGATGAAATAGTTATGGAAAATACAATGTTGTCAAAAAAAAGTGAAGATAAAAAATAAATTATGCAATTGGTATCCCTTTATATATAGTAGAGTATAGAAGAGGAAAATATGCATTATATATTTGTTAAAAAATAAAAAATAACAAATTATTAAAAAGATGATGATAATGATTTTATTTAATTGAAGAAAAAAATTATTTAATAATAACAGTTATTATAAAAAATTATGTGGAATCACTAAAAGAATCTTCGATTATAATGATAAATAGAGATAAGAATAAAAATATTTTAAACAAATATAAATATGTTAAAAGATAAATGAGTTTTAAGAAAAACAAAATCCAAAAAGTAATATAATATTTATATATAGTATAAATTATTATAATAATGTACATATATTTGTTTAATATATATATATATATATATATATTATTTTCCACTTTTATTTATTTACTTTGTAAACAAACTATTTTTCATATCAAATGTTAAGAATTTAATGATAAAAATTGTAATACGTATTAAACATAAATGTCCAAAAAATTATCTATTTTACAAGTTATACAAAAAAATAATATATAAACTAATAATGACTTCACTCATATGCACGAGTTATTTACTAGTTTTATTATATATATATATATATTAGTGAGGTTGAGATATTTTGTACCTCTATATATTAGTTAATATTAGTGTTTAAATTTTTTAAATATTTGATAGATTAATTAGTATTATATTTGATCTTCAAACCTAAAAATCTTGAGTTTGAATCTTATCTTTATAAAAATGATTAATTTTTAATATTTAAAAATTTAAAGATAAAATTATCTAAAAAATATGTATATATTTTGTGGACAATTACTCTTTCTTTTTCTACCTTTTTTTTTCAAAAAAAAAAAAAACCCTTACAAATAAAATTGTTTAGATTCTCTTATTATTAAGTATTAAATTTTTTATATATATTTTTTAAAAATACATGAAGGCTTGAAATGTCTTTTCACTCTAGTGTTGTATAATTATTATAATTACACATATTAATATATTTTATAAATTAAAAGATATAATAAAAATTACTGAAAAATTAAGAAAAATAAAGCATGTTACATTTGTCCACATAATAGATAATAGATTTGATTTTAGTATCTAAAATTTTAATCCAAAATTTTAATTTATTTTAAATTTTTATTATATATAACTATATAAATTTATTTTTATATAAATATATATTTAATCTATGAAGAAATAAATACACTATATCCTGCGACAAGTTTTGAAAGCACACCGATTTTATTTTATTTTTATTATATTTATTTATTATTAAGTATTATTTTTTTAATTTTAATTCAAATTGTAAACAAAAATTAAAAATTTCCTTCGTGCTCTCTGCGTCGTAATAATAACACCAGCAAACCGTTACCCTCCCCGCTCGTTAGCGCCCTATCTCAACGCAAACACTCCCCTGATACACCAATTCCCCCAACACACGCTCAGTAGCGCACTTTACAAAATATGACACCCACCCAGCGCATGTTAGTACTTGCCCGTGTTTCGCACACCGTCTGCGTCTACCATCTTTCTCTTTCTCTTTCTCTTTCTCTTTCTCAGCGCCACCTTCCTTATCCTACGCACCTTTTCTCCTCCCTCATTCCTTTTAGGGCTAAGCCTTTTCCCTCTCTCTCCCAAACCTCTTCTCATTATTCTTCGCTCTTTCGGAAAATTAGGGTTTCTTAGTTCTCATTAGCGCATGGATCGCGCCACCAAACGCAACCACTCCTTCTACTCCACTCTCTTCAACCTCGAGGTTCGTTTTCCCCTAGCTGATTTGTGTTTTCAACCATTGTTGAGTGGATGGGAGATTCAATGCGGCTTTGGTTTTTTATTACGTTCTTTTCTTTTTTGTTGATCGTCTGTTTATATTTGTAGAGAATGTATGTAAATTCTTTGAATTTAACATTCTGATTGTGCTTTTGTTTTTATTTTTGTTGTAGCCTTTGATGAACTTTCAACTTCCACACGAAGATAATGATGATTTTGATTATTATGGGAGTAGTAGTCATGACGACGAGAACAGAGATAGTCAAGGTAGGCATTATTTTTTTTTTATTTTAAATTTTTATATTTTCGTTATTATCTGTTTTGGATTGTGGGGGCACTCATTGTGTATTTTGATTTTGATGCTTGTGAAATATGAAACTATTGAAAAATTGACTGTTTGGACTTTGGATGGTGTTTGTGCTTTAACGTATTTTCGTGCTGCTTTTGTAAGTAGGTGGTAGGGCTAATCACAATAATGGAAATATGTACGCAAGGGAGGGGAATTTGTCGAGGAAGAGGGCATGGTCTCAGAACAGTGATACTGATGATGAGGATAAGGGAAGATATTATGGGACTTACATGACAGAGGAGCGATATCGATCAATGCTTGGTGACCATGTTCAGAAATACAAAAGGAGGCGTAAGGAGGCCTTGTCTAATCCTGCTCATAATCGGATTGCTGTTCCTCTTGTCAAAAGTAACAATGGCTTAAAAGTTCGCAAGCCAGTGAACGATTACAAGGGAACATCGCATGCTGCAGAAAGTGCATCTGAATGGCTTCATGATTCGAATAATCAGAAACAAGGGAACCAGAGTCATGCAGATTTTAAGCAGCAATATGGCACTGATAGGTATGCCTTCCTGGTCTGTTGCATTGATAGTGTTGGAGGTTTCAAATACTTTTAAGTTACAAATGACCTTACCTTTTGTGGACTTCTTGCAGGATTAAGTATGAACCTGCTTCTTTGGACATTGAGGATGGTATCACTTACAAGATTCCTCCAATTTATGATACGTTGGCCTCGATACTGAACCTTCCAAACTTCTCAGATATCCATGTGGAGGATTTTTACTTAAAGAGTACCTTGGATTTGGGGTCCTTGGCTGCAATGGTGGCTGCCGATAAAAGGCTTGGGACTAGAAACCGAGCAGGCATGGGGGAACCCCTATCTCAATATGAATCACTTCAAGCAAGAATAAAGGCCATGCCAGCTTCTAATTCACATCATAAATTCAGTCTGAAAGTGTCTGATGTTGATTTGAATTCATCCATTCCAGAGGGTGCTGCTGGAAGCATAAAGCGATCTATTTTATCTGAGGGTGGTGTATTGCAGGTTTATTATGTTAAGGTTTTGGAAAAGGGTGACACATATGAGGTATGTGTATGATGAGAGACTTCTGTCTTTTAACTTTCTTTTCCCCTTTTTTCTTTTCATTCAGCCTTGATTTATGATTTTTTTTCCAGATAATTGAACGAAGCCTACCAAAGAAGCAAAAGTTAAAGAAAGATCCTGCTTTGATAGAGAGGGAAGAAATGGACCGAATTGGAAAGATTTGGATAAACATTGTAAAAAGAGACATACCGAAGCATCATAGGAATTTTACTTCTTTTCATCGAAAGCAACTCGTTGATGCCAAGAGGTTCACACAGTATTGTCAAAGAGAGGCATGTGCTATCCCCCTCCCATATTTTTCCTCTGTTTTATCTCATATTGGTTTTTGTATTTAAGCTAAATAGTCCAAAGCTTTTGATATTGGTTTTCTATTTTCGATTTTCTATATCAACTTTTATGAATCCATTTTTTCTTCAGGTTAAAATGAAAGTTAGTAGATCACTTAAACTGATTAAGGGTGCTAGTGGTCGTCCCCGGAAACTAGTTAGAGACATGTTGCTGCTCTGGAAACAAGTAGATAAGGAGATGGTACTTTCTAATTCCTTTGAGTTTTTGATTCTGTTGATTTACTTCTGTATGCTTGTCTTGTTAATGCTATGTAATGGATCTTTACCATCATCTTAATATTGTAATCTTGAGTGTCAATGAGATTATTGAAATGTTTTATTTTGGATAAGTGAAAATTTTTTATTAAATGACCAATTGACAGCACTAGAATGTTACACATACCAGGAAATACAAATAACAAGATTATTTAAATGGTATCAATTGATTTTTAAATTTTAGTGGGGAATGACCGATTTAATTCTAGGTTGTATTTTGCACACAATTATATCCATGACTTCAAACTATGTGTAGAAATGACTATATATAGAAATGATATATAGAATGTTGTGTTATACGTTCACACAAGCTCTTTATTTATAATCACATATTTGGGTACAATAGAAATACATCAAACATAGATACAAAAGAATCAATCTAAATCCCTAATTTGTAGATTGCAGTAATGGATATTTCCATATTTAAATGTAATAAATGTCCTTTTCTAACACTTACTCTCAAGTTGGAGCATATATGTCATGAAACAAGCTTGTTACAAATCTAGTCAATACAAGAACCTGAGTGTGAATATGTTGGCCAATTGTGATTTCCCTTGATAGCACCTTCTCTTACGAAGTGACAATTGATGTGTTTAGTTAGTTTATGAAAGATTGGATTTGATGCAACATAAAGTGACTTGATTGTCACAAATAAGTTTAGTATCTTTAATGCCTCCAAACTTTTGCTGCTGGAGGAGTTCCTTGAGCCATGTAAACTTGCATGCAATTACTGCCATTGCACGGTATTCAACTCCGACACTGGATCTAGCAACTATATTCTGTTTCTCGCTTCTCTGTGAGTTTATATTTTCTCCAATAAGAACACAATACCCAAAAGTGAATCTCCTATTTGATGGTGATCCTTCCCAATCAACATCAGAGTAACTAATGATTTTGGCATTGCATTTATCTTCATATAGTAAGCTATGTCTTGGTGTATTTTTGATGTACCTAAGAATAATATGAGAACATCCTAATGACTATTACAAGGGGCATTAAAAAAATAGACTTACCACTCTAATTACAAATTTGATGTTAGGTTTGGTGATAGTGAGATTGTTAACTTTGCCCTTGAGACATTGATAGCTTCCTAGGTCTTTTAATGAATCCTCCTTACTTTGAAGAAGCTTGGCAATAGGATCCATAGGAGTATCAGTGAGATGGAAGTTAAGTTTATTGGTCTAAGTCAAAATATTCAAAGCGTACTTTTGTTGGGTGATTGCAGTGCCAATATAGGATTGGGCAACTACAATTCCTAAGAAATATTTGAGAGGTCCCAACTCTTTCATTTGAAATTGATTGAGGTGGTGATATTTGAGCTGCTGGATACCTTCTTTATCCCAAGACAGAAAGTGAATGGAAAATGTAGAGTGATCACGCTCACGAGTGATGCTAAACTTTATTAAGGCAAAGCTAAAATGGCCAAATCAAGCATGATGATACTACTTCAAACCATAGAGATAATGACGAAGATGAAGCTAAAAAACAAGGTGAGAGCCACCTGAAACTATAAAATCTTTTCTTGCAATTCATAATTTAAGAATATATTCTTAATATTTCCAACGGGTGGAGAGGACAATGAGATGGCTGATAGCCATAACAAGAAAGAGACGAACATAAGTAATTTTGGCCAATTGGTGTAAAGCTATCCCCTCAATTTGGAGAGGAGCCAAAATTGGTGAGGAGGGATTTGGCTCTGTTTTGTTCCCCTTTTAAAAGTTGAACTAAACAAGAAAGGTATAAAGAAATCCCTCCCCTCCATTTCCTTCCAACCAAACACTATATGCAAATCATAGGTGAAGCCGTGATTGATCTCAAGTCCCAATTAGCACCCAATGATGTTGGACGAAATCACAACTTTACATGCGAATGGCACTTGGGAACTTGATCCCTTACCTCTAGACAAGATTCCTGGTGGCTATTGTTCGGTTTAAAGCTTTCTTGGTGGCTAAGGACTACACATAATTTTTTTTAAATTGTTTGACTGGAAAGATCATCTCTTATGAACCAAACAGTGATAGAGTTATTCCACCCCACCCACCTTCTCTAACCGAATAAAATATGTAATTAAATTTGCTCCACTCCCTTCCCCTTCCCTTCATTGAACTAAATAGAGCTTTAGGAATATACACAAAATCCAAAAGAAGAGAGAAATAGCAAGATGAAGTTAAGGATCAATGAATGGAATTGTATTGGAGGTTGTGTTTGTCGTCGATAAGTAAGCAATGGAGGTGGAGCAAAACTGCAAAAGTAATGATTGGAGCTAGAAACAACAGGTGGAATATTCAGTGGATCAGGGATGAAGGGGAGATGTTGAACAATGGAGAAGGAACAAATCTTAAAAAATGGGAATGTCAACATAGACAAGATTTCGTTGAAGTTGAGGGCAAGGGGGGAACTTGAGCTACTATCACAAGCTTCAATTGTTGTCTAGCCTTGGTTGCGACATTCTCTCATGTCTTCCAGTCTTCTCAGTGTGCCAGACAAATTGACAAAGTAAGGGGTTGTGGTGGTCAATATCATGGTACTCGCCACAGTTATTGCAATCAATAGGAGGTGTTGCTGAAAGTATGGAGTGGAGAGATGAACAATTGTTCACTAATCATGTCATAGGATGAAACATGAGAGCGTGATAAAATTTGATTAGGAATAAGCATTAGTTTGGGCAGGAGACTGACAAGTGCATGAACCACAAAAAAATTGCTTTGTTATTTCGCATGAGGGTTTCAAAATCAGCAATTAAAGGATCAAGCTTTCCAAGATATGTCTGCACATCTAAGTTTTTCAACTTGATCAAAATAAGGTTGAAAATAACACTGGAAAGGTGATGAATGTCTTTGGAATAAGCTTGCTTGGCTTTCGGCTAGATGTCATAGCAGGTTGTAAATGCATGGTATCACGGCTAGAGTTTGAGTGCAATAGAAAACCATAAAACACTGCATTAGGAGGTGTCAATATGCTGATAATAGGTTTGATCCTTGGTGGGATGTTCTTGGCATGGGTGGTCAAGTGGTTGGCATGGCCTTGGCCTAGAAACCACAACTAGGCATGACCTTCTCTGGCCTAGTCAATTTTTCAAACCGGGACAGTGGTTAAGGTCACAAAAGCACCAAAATTTATGGAGGACCCTTTGGAGACCATGGGGAATCAGCCAAAAAATTGTTGTATAGTTTTAGAAACTGGATCAGAAATGCAAATATTTGAAGAAAGACTGAATCTTTATTTAAAAAAAAAATCCCAATATTGCTCAATGTGGTACAGTACTGAGAGTTGGAGCGCTTTCCGAGAATATGGACTTCCTAGATATTCAACAGATCCAGGGCTCTCCCTCATCACTGTTTCCTCAATTACAGACTAATGCTGTCCCTCTTAATGTTCCCCTACTTATTCTTTCAGTGTCACTACCAAACAAACCTTGAACACAATTAGTTAAATCTTTATCTAACTACAAAAATCTCAACTAGTCATAAGTAAAACCATCTTACACTTACTTTGGTAAACCTTCTTAATCAAGGGCCTAGGTCCTTATCATACAGGGTTGCCACAGAGAGAATATGTTAGGATCCAATTGCTAGGTATGGGACTTGAGTCTCACATTGGATGTATGGGATTCTAGTGTGGGATTTATAAGGCCTTGGGTTCTCCAACTACAATAACTAGTTTTTGTTGTATGGGATTCTACTGTTTACCTGTCAATGGGAGACACCTCTGGCAGAGCCGAGCAGAAACAAAGGAAACCTAAACTCTTGATAGTTGATACCATGTAGAAAGGATATATTGAATGTTATTTATAATCAAGTATTAGGGTACGATAGAATCAATCATAGATACACAAGAATCAATCTAAATTCCTGATTTGTAGCAACAGATATTTCCATATTTACATGTAATAACAGCTTTTTTTAACACTATGTTTAACAAACTTTTCAGCTTAGGAGGCTTTTGAGATTTTCAGATATATGCAGTCTGTTTTATCTTGAAGAAAATGGGTGGTCTTTTTTTGTTGACTTTCATGCTTGATAATCTCTCAAAATTTATTTTGAATGTGAAAATCACCACAGATGTAAATTCACTTTGCTTTAGACTAGAATATGTTGTAAGCTTCTAATTTCACTTCTTTCAGGCCGAAGTCAGGAAAAGAGAGGAGAAAGAAGCTGCTGACGCTTTGAGGCGTGAACAGGAGCTTCGAGAAGCTAAGAGGCAGCAGCAAAGGCTTAATTTTCTCATACAACAAACTGAGCTGTATAGCCACTTTATGCAGAACAAGTCAAGTGTACACTCATCAGATGCTTTACCCTTGGTAGATGAAAAAACAAGTGGTGATCAAGATGCACTGTTTGACACTTCAGATGCTGGGCATAATGAGGAGGAAGACGCAGAAGAGGCTGAATTGAAGAAGGAAGCTTTGAAGGCTGCTCAAGAAGCAGTCTCTAAACAGAAAAGGTTGACTAATGATTTTGACAGTGAATGCATGAGGTTGCGCCAGGTGGGTGAAACTGATTCACTTACAGAGCAAGTAGCAGGAGCAAGTAACATTGATTTGCAAACCCCGTAAGTTTTCTGTCTTTATTGTTTGATACATGGATGTATACATGTACACTACATGGACACACCACACACACATATACATATAAAAGTATATTTTCTTGTTTCTGTTTTTTCATCTGGATGGTATTAAAGTGTGTGAGACTTAGCAATAACATGTCATCTTTAATGATGCTTTTGTTCTTATATTGCAGATCAACCATGCCAATGGTTTCCACAGTTCAGACACCGGAATTATTTAAAGGTTGTCTTAAAGAATATCAGCTGAAAGGTCTTCAGTGGCTAGTTAATTGTTATGAGCAGGTTGTTGAGCTATCCCAAATAACTTCCTCATGATAATTTTTGATTTTGTTTTGTTTTATTTTTTGTTTCTCTATTTTGGATTGTTGTTAATTTGAATGCTTTTGGTGTCTTTCAGGGTTTAAATGGTATACTTGCTGATGAGATGGGGCTTGGAAAGACCATCCAGGCTATGGTATTTTTAGCCCATTTGGCTGAGGTAGCTATTCAAACTGGTGTTTTTGTACATGTTTGTGACTTTATTCTAACTTGTATGCATGATGCAGGAAAAAAACATATGGGGGCCTTTCCTGGTTGTTGCACCTGCTTCTGTATTAAACAATTGGAATGAGGAACTTGAGCGCTTTTGCCCTGAGCTTAAAAGACTTCCATATTGGGGAGGGCTTTCAGAGCGGACCGTGCTTAGGAAAAGTATTAATCCAAAGGACCTTTATCGTAGGTAATGCAAATTTCTCAAGCATTTCTGTTCCTTGAAAAAATCATAGCAGAAATGCTAATAGTTTTATGGGCTAGACTTTTGTGAAAATCTCCTTAAATGCAGTTACTATGGTAGTTTAGTACCAAAGAAATATATTTTGTTGATAGCCCAAGCATCTGAGAACCTCAGTGAAGATTCTTTCTTGCTATAGAAGAATCATATCTGATGTGACTTTTAATTTGGTCACTATTTTCAGTCTACAGTGGAATTTTGATGCTGGAAATGAAAGCCATATTTTTATAAACAAAAAAATATGCTCTCATTTGTCTGTTGGAACGAAAAATAAATGTTCTATTTATAATGGTTTTGGATTTAGTGCTTTGTGCGGGAATGAATAATTAAAATGATGCAGATCCAATGGAGTCTAGATGCTCTCCTAAAATAGGGAAAATAGAAATGTCAAAATAAGTTTTTGTTTTTAATTATAAGATGTACCCAATATGGGTATTACTATTGAGTATTGACAAACTCTCTTGGGCTTGAAGTGGAATTGTGTATTATGACTCTTCTAAAGTAAGGGGTGTACTTTAGAAGGTAAAGTCCACTCACAATTGTTGATTAAAAATATCAAGGGTTAAGTTTTGTGATAAAATCAAATTTTTGCATAATTAAATCTAAAATTAATTATAATATCAACCATTGATTTTTTTATTAATGGTTATTATTGCACTTTATTCTCTAAAGTGCAATTCTCTCACTTTAGAGGAGTCAAATCCTCATAGTTAAATTTCAACAGTATATACATCAGCAGGTGTGGCATCCAAAATTTGAGCCCTACAAGAACTTGATGAGGTGGTGCATTAGTGAGTTTTCCATTTATATCTGCCATCCTTAATCTTTTAGTTTATGAGAGTTGGTCTCTCACAAACATAAAGAAAGGATAACAATTTGATTTAATTATTTATGATGCCATAACCGTTTTGGAGTCTTATGTTTAAAATCTTGAATGACAATTGGCTCATTTTTTATGATTGCAATATGTTTAACAAGACAATATGAAATAGTTCCTTAACAGTAGGGACTCTTTTTGCGTAATTTGAAATAATGATTTATCCTCACTTTTCAATCATCATTAAGCAAAATTTTGGGTTTTAAGAAAGTGAAGTAAAAAACTGCTCAACAAATGGTAGAATCTATTTTCTAGATAAGTATAGGTCTTTGGTGAGTATTACTGCATTATTCATCTTCAGAGTATCTTGATTAGAACCTTAAAAGGTCTGAGCTAGTGAAGCATACATTATTTTGACCTTTACGTGTCATATGTTAATTCCACTTGCTATTTATCTTTTTGCTATTTTCATCCTTCTGAATACAGTGGTTACTGCTTTCTTGTTTACCAGGGAGGCTAAATTCCACATTCTCATAACAAGCTATCAGCTATTAGTAACTGATGAGAAGTATTTTCGCCGTGTGAAATGGCAGTACATGGTTTTAGATGAAGCCCAGGCAATCAAAAGTTCAACCAGGTTTTGAATAATCTTTTTTTTTTTTTTTTTTTTTTTTTTTTTTTTTAAATGTGCAAGGGAATGACTCGAGTTATTTATTGATTATTGTTTTTGACCAAGGTTTTTCTTATAAGAAAACTGATTAATTATTTGTGTGATGCATTTTTTCCTAGGACTGAATTGTGTATAACTTTTAAATGTTTAATATTATCAATAAAAACATGGTTTTAGATGAAGCCCAGACAATAAAAAGTTCAACTAGGTTTTGAATTATCTGTGTTTTTTTAAATGTGCAAGGGAATGACAGTAATTCTTTATTGACCAAGTTTTTCTTATAAGAAAACTGATTAATTATTTGTGTGATGCATTTTTTCTTAGGATTGAATTGTGTATAACTTTTAAATATATTTTATAAATGCATGATTATTTTAATAGTTGAATTCATATTATCATCAGTGTTATGATTGATCTACCTTTTAAAATTCTTTTTATCTAACAGCATAAGGTGGAAGACACTTCTCAGTTTTAATTGTCGTAATCGCCTACTGCTGACTGGTACACCTGTTCAGAATAATATGGCTGAGTTGTGGGCTTTGTTGCACTTTATCATGCCAACTTTATTTGACAGCCATGAGCAGTTTAATGAGTGGTTCTCGAAAGGGTAAGTATTGAATTGTATTCCTCATTATTGTCCATTGGATATTATGGCCATTTTGCTAGTCTTACTGTCTTTCATGATCAAATCTCATGCCAGAATTGAGAATCATGCAGAACATGGTGGTACTTTGAATGAGCACCAGCTTAGTAGATTGGTAAGTTTGACTTTCCTGTTTGGTATTCACTGTAGCTAGTAGTCATGTGGTTAAAATATTTTACATATTCTGTTGGATTCTTTTTAAAAAAAAATTATTATATTGGATTTATTAATGAGAATAGGTATATATAACTACACCTTTGCTTTAGCATTTGTTGAATGTGGGGACGGATTGAATATAGTTTTGCAAATCAGAAAGCCATTATTATTATTATTAGTGAGTGGTAATTATGTTTGTTAAGGGTATCTAGCACATGCTTAATGTGCTTGGAAATATAGGTGTCTGACTAATTATAATATACTTTACCATAGTGCACTGCTAGTATGCTTTAATGTATATAAATAGATTGGTCTGCACTGACATTACTAAGCTTCCAAAGCATCCCTTATTATCACATGTTGCTCTTGCCTTTGTTAATTTTTAACATTTGTATTGTTCAATGATACATGTCCCACAGGTGTTATAATTGAAGTAACAACATTGTGTTATACTGTGACCCTTATATTATTAACATATCTAATTATTTTGACTCGTTTTTGAATTTGTTATAATTTCTTTTCTTTTAGACCATCTTTGACCTGCATTTTGTTTACATCTCTAACAGCATTCAATACTAAAACCTTTCATGCTGCGACGTGTTAAAAAAGATGTAATTTCTGAGCTGACTAAGAAAACTGAGGTTATGGTGCACTGCAAGTTGAGTTCTCGGCAGCAGGCTTTCTATCAAGCTATTAAGAACAAGATATCTCTAGCTGGGTTGTTTGATAGTAATCGTGGGCAGCTCAATGACAAGAAAGTTATGAATTTAATGAATATCGTTATTCAACTAAGGAAGGTAGGTTGGTAGTTCATATTATTCATGTACTTTCTATTACTTTTTTAGTGAAATATTTTAATTAGTTTATTTTGAAATATAGATTTTTGAGTTTCAGTTGAATGATGTCCCACACCCCTCTCCCCTTAAAAAAGTTTTCCTATAATAAAAATTGCTACTGAAATATGGTAGGTTTGCAACCATCCAGAGTTGTTCGAAAGGAACGAGGGAAGCACATACTTTTACTTTGGAGAAATTCCAAATTCCCTTCCACCTCCTCCATTTGGGGATTTGGAGGATATATACTATCCTGGTGGGCATAACCCCATATCATACAAGGTTCTTTCTTAAACCTTATCTACTATATAAAAAAATCAAAACATTCAATTTCATTATTTTCTTTTCCATCTTTGCTCTTTCATATTCTTTTTAACTAGTGTGTTCAACAAGGCTTTCTGTAAATCACTCAAGATGTTGCAAAGGATTATGTAAACTTGATTACTTATTTGTAGTTTTGTACCAATTTCTTTATAAGTATACAATCAAAAGCAGATGTAATCTAGGGATTGTTTGCATTATATAATATTTGACAGTTTATCTTGAAGTAAAAGCAAATTCATTCCATCAAGTTTTTTTTTTTCCTTCTTTTGAAAAATTAAGTCAAGTTTATTAAGGAGTCAGGACCTTGTTGCAATCTTGCTACGTGCTGATATATGTGGCTATTTGGTCTTTAGTGTTTAATGTCTGCATTTAGTTTTAGAATTGTATGTTATAGCATGAGCCTGGGTTGGTTATTGATGGGAGTCTGGTCTTTAGTATTTAATGACTGCATTTTAGTTTTAGAATTATATGATATAGCATGAGCCTGGATTGGTCATTGATGGGAGTTAGAGGCAGTTATGACAGTTCTGTGTATAAACAAATATTTTCTACGCATAAATGTCTTAACTACCCCTAACTCTCAATTCACATCAATTATGTTTTTGGCCATGTATCGGTTTGTAGGCAAAAGACAGCTGTCATGAGACTTTTGGAAGAATTTTCTGGAAGTCAATTGTACACCACATTCTTACATTTTGCATGATAGTATACATGCTGTGTTGGTTATACTATTAGTAATATAGACCTGCTGGTAGCTTAGAGCTACCTCTCAGTTAGTTATGACAGTTGTTGAGTTACACTTGCAACAGCTCAGTTAGAGCTAATTCTCTGTTTTTGCACCCTATAAATACATTACTTGTAATAAGATAAAAAATATGAAAAAACAGCTCACATCATTCTTTATTCTCTCTGAATTCTTTAGATTTTGCATTGCAAGATAGTAAAGTCAATTTTACGCAATATGCCTAGATTTTATCTTGTTTCCATGTCATTCGCCTTTTGTCCATTTTATTTGAGAATGAAAAATATAACGAGATTCAGATCTAGTACTTAGTGGATAATAAAGAGGAATACCTGAAGTTTAATTGGGGTATTAATGTATTATACAGTAACATGGACATTGGTTGGTGATGATTATGAAGAATGAAGGACAGAGATATGAGAGTCAATGAATGTTATGCCACACAAGATTCAAATAAAATCCTTTTATTAAAGCATGAAATTAGTTTTTCCTTTGTTTTGCATATCCTACTAGTAACTGCTTTTCTTTATTGATTGTTTGTTACCCCTCTTTTCATTTTTTAACTTTGCAGATACCAAAGCTTGTCTATCAAGAGATTATGCAAAGTTCTGAAACTTTCAGTTCAGCTGTTGGTTATGGTGTCTGCAGAGAATCTTTTCTGAAATGTTTTAATATTTTTAGTCCTGAAAATGTTCATCGATCTATCTTCTCAGAAGATATTGTGAAAAGTGGAAACTTTGGTTTTACCCATTTGATGGGTTTATCACCCCAAGAGGTGGGTTTTATGGCCACTGGTTCTTTTATGGAGCGAGTATTATTTTCTATGATGAGATGGGAACAGAAGTTCCTTGATGAAGCTTTAGACTTTCTTATAGAGGCCACAGTAGGTGATCCTGAATGTAGTTACCTTGAGAAAGATAAAGTGAGAGCTGTTTCACGAATGTTATTGTTGCCAACAAGATATGAGACCAAGTTTCTTCAGAAAAAGTTTGCAACTGGACCCACCAATGCTCCTTTTGAGGCCTTGGTTGTCCCACACCAGGATAGGATTTTATCAAATGCAAGGCTTCTTCACTCCACATACACGTATATTCCACCGACTAGAGCTCCCCCAGTAAGTGATGTTGTTTGGTTATCTAGTCTCGTGTTACTTCCTCCAAAACAATTTTTTTCTTTTCTTTCCCTCTAAAATGATAATCAATTATCTACCATATTGCTTCTTTTATTCTTTATAGATTCGTGCTCACTGCTCAGACAGAAACTTCACCTATAAAATGATCGAAGAATTACATGATCCTTGGGTTAAGAGGTTGTTTGTGGGATTTGCGCGAACATCGGAATGTAATGGGCCTAGAAAGCCTAATAATCCTCCTCATTTGATTCAAGAGATAGATTCCGAATTACCTATTTCACGGCCTGCACTTCAGTTAATGCACAGTATTTTTGGATCTTCACCACCTGTGCGGAATTTTGATCCAGCAAAGTTGCTCACTGTAAGTGTTATTCTTCCTTTTGTTGTGTCTGACTGTATTGAGTGCATTAACACAAAAGTGATTAACTATTATATGAACTGATTAATTTCTGTTTAATACAGGACTCTAAGAAGCTTCAAACGCTTGATATATTATTGAAACGCTTGCGGGCAGAAAATCATCGTGTTCTCTTATTTGCTCAGATGACTAAGATGCTGAATATTTTGGAGGTATTGTTGAACTTGTGATAATGCTGGTCCATTTGTTATTGGTTTTATAAAAGATATCTCAGGTTTTATATCCAGTGTTTTCAAAGAGGTGAGATGTGGAAAAATTAAGTTATTAAATCATTGTTACTACAAGAGCCCTTGCTGAATATTTTAGAGGTATTGTTGAACTTGGAATAATGTTGAACCGTTTGTTATTGGTTTTATAATAGATATCTCAGGTATTATATCCAGTGTTTTCAAAGAGGTGAGATGTGGATAAATAACGTATTAAAATCATTGTTATTACAAGAGCCCTGACTATGTCAGTTCGTTTCTCTTTAATCAATGTAATTTACAAATAATTGGCTTCTATTTCTTTTTTCCATGGAAGCAGCTAAAAGAGTTTAATCTTATTTATTTATTTTAATTTGGGTAGAGGTTGTTTGGGTTAGGCTAGTAATATGAAAGTGGAAATGGTCCTGCTATGCTTAGCTTCTATTTACACAAGCTGTGTGGTTCTTGTTCTCATGTTATTGTGTATCATTCAACTTTGGTGGGTTTGTTTCACTGCTGATAGGTGGTTTTACTGTTTTCTTGAAGGACTATATGAACTATAGAAAATATAAATATTTTAGACTTGATGGGTCGTCCACTATTCAGGATCGCAGAGACATGGTCAGAGACTTCCAGCACAGGTAATGTCTGTCATGCTATAATGACTCTACTTTGGTCAGACTATTGAAGATGAGTTGTTTCTTTATATCTTTTTTGCAGGAATGATATTTTTGTGTTCTTACTAAGTACGCGAGCTGGTGGATTGGGTATCAACTTGACAGCTGCTGACACAGTCATATTTTACGAGAGTGATTGGAATCCAACATTGGATCTACAGGCAATGGATAGAGCTCATCGTTTGGGTCAGACAAAAGATGTTAGTTTTATCTCTCTCTTCCCTTCCCTCTCACCCACTGTATGTGCACACTTTTGGTAATAATGGATGCCTTGTATGAATGTCAAACATCTCAAGCAAATGGTGTATATAGAACTTCCTTCCTTGGATGTAGCTCCGTGATTCCTCCTCCTTTCTTCTCCTTTACCACTCATTTTACTTTCGTTGGATATAGCACTGAATTTCTAAGTGCTTAGCTTATTACTGTTTTAGTTCAAAACTAATTTTATTTGTGTACATTAAAACTTGTAGGTTACTGTTTACCGTCTTATATGTAAAGAGACAGTTGAAGAGAAAATTCTTCTTAGAGCAAGTCAGAAAAGTACTGTACAGAACCTTGTCATGACTGGTGGTTCTGTTGGTGGTGACATTTTAGCTCCTGAAGATGTTGTATCTTTGCTTCTGGATGATGTTCAATTGCAACAGAAATTAAATGAAGTCCCTCTTCAGGTTAGTTGTGAATCTGGTGATCCAATATTCAAATTTTCAATGTGTTGAATATCCTTCTGGCCAACAGTATGAAAAATTCCAGAATCCTCAAACAATGAGAGAATTTTTTCAATTGTATTTGACCTCACTTATCCTTTCAGGTAAAGGGTAAGAAAAAGAAAAAACCTACTAAGGCTATACGGATAAATGAGGAAGGTGATGCATCTCTGGAAGATCTAACAAACTGTCTAGGCCAGGGAACTGCAGATCATGATATTTCCATGGATCAGGAGGGACCAAAGTCCAGTAATAAAAAGGTATTTTTATACTTCGTGAATATAGTACTGGTGCTGAGTGCTTAAATTTTATCTGAACTAATTAACATGATAAGAAAGTGTTAAAATTTGTTGGGAATTTTTGTAGTTTCTCGTATACAATGGAGGATCTTTTGCTTGAGGAATTATCTTGTGGCTGAAGATACATTTCTACATGTCTCTTAATTTTAAAGTTCATCTGCATCTTTACTTGTAGAAAAATAAGAAGAATTGTTTTTTTGTAGAGGCGCAGTTAGCTTCTAATCTTTTGATTAATGAATCAAAACAGATAGGTAAGATATTGGTCGATCAAGAAATAAAGAAAAGGTTTTGAAAAATTTAAGGGGAAGTCCTGCTTTTATGCCAACTGTACAGAACATTGCATATTTTGGATCTTGTGGGTTTTGAGTGTTTTTCAAAAGAACAAGCAAGTGAGATTTTGTTTCGTGAAAAGTGAAATCAATCTCTCTTTATCTCCAAAAGAAGAAGGAAAAATATCAATATTGCAGAGAGCATTCCATTTGAAAATAAGCAATTTTCTTCAATTCAAAAGTGAGAAGATTCTTAGTTATAGTGACAGGGTTTATCTTTGTGGAGGTAGTGTGATAGAAGTGGTATCATAACAGTAAGAATTGGTTTTTATTGAATGGAACTAGGAAGAAACCCCTGGGAAGCAATACATAATTCTAGATATTTCCAGAGGTCTGGATCCCCACTCTTACATTGTTTCTCAATCACAAAAGTCCACTAAACAGTTCACGGTTATTCCTATTTATAGCCATCTACTGATCTGCTAACATGAACTCACCCTCAATGTGTCTAATTAGTTACAGACCCATTTCCCTTCTTTCTAACATAACTAAACAATGGGTATCTATCACAGTGAAAAGGAAGTTTTGAAGTCTCTCAGTAACAGGGGATAGGAGTAGGAGGGTTGGTGCATTCGATTGGAACGAGATGGTTGTATCTTTAATGGCCTTACTTTCTTTGCCTGTGTATCGGGTGAGTCTTGGCTTTCTGTTTTGGAGGATACCCTAGCCATTGTTTTAGTTTCCTACATTTCACGAAGTTTTGTTTTCTGGGACTTCCATTTGCAAGAATCAAAATGGTTAAGCATCGACATAAATACTATAATCCGTTCAAGTGAACCACATAAACATCCAAGCAACCATAAAGTTGGGGAGAGGGGTGGAGTACCACCCTCTCTTTGCCATGTTTAAGTTGATCATAATTACCTTGCCTCCACAACATTTTTAAATGCACACATTCAATGGGTGCAGATTTTAGCTGTTCATACATCTGCTATGCCCTTAGAAATCCATGAATCTGTTTGGGAAGAAACTTAATCATTGGAGCATTTTGTTGGTTTTATGTAATAACATTTCGGTTATTTTGAAGTTTTAGGCGTAACATTCTTCATGGGGGTTATTGTTTCAATTTTATTATGTTATTCTCAGTTTGGTTAACAGTAATATTTATTTGCAGACAAAAACAGCTTCTGACAAGCAAAAACCGAGGCCAAAGAATTCTCAGAAGAAGATGAAAGGGAGTACGTAATAGATAACGAACAGGATGATGACCATCGAAATACTGATCTAGTGTGGACAGAGAAGAATGTGAATGAAAGGTTTGAAAGTCCACATTCCAGAGCGGACCCATCCATTTTCCACCTCCACGTGATTTCAGTTCAGGTGGTTCTGAAGCAGAAACAGCTCAATACGCCTCAAGACGTGGTGACTTCTCACAATAGAATAATTTACTGAATACTGGGCCGTCAGTATTCTAACAAACTTGTAAATTTTCATTTTTTGAGAGATCGCTAGGTTGGGTCTTATTGATAATCAGCTTATAGTTTTTTTCCTTTGTCATTTTGGATTCATTATGGCTGAAAATCATAGGGCAAAGTAAGGCAAGATAGGTATAGGTGAACCGGCGCAAGCCTAGGTTGTATATATATATTGATGGTGCTAAGTATATGTTGGTTATATGTTCATCCCTCTTCATTATACGGGGCTTTTGTATATAGATTGGGTTATCTTCGATGGTGCGACTTGTTTTCTTTCTATAACCAATATTTATAGTAATTGATGATTTCTGGTACCGTTACATGCACATGTATTATTTTAAGTGGCTTCGATGGAACTGCATTGGGTGAAAACTAGGTGAACTTGATGTTCGCCATTGCCACTCTTGCATCATAATTAGCAACACCTAACTATTATTAATCTATTTGAATACAAATTTGGAGTAGATTTTTAGAGCTTTTCTTATGAAAAATGTTATGTTCTTTAATTTTAATAGATAAACTCAAGTACTTTTAAATTTGTATATAAACATGCTTATGCTATTATCTAACTTTAAGATTAAGGCATAGAACTTGCTTATTCCCTAAATAGAAATGAGAGAAATCAAACATTGAATTTCAACTATGTGAAAAGAGGTATGTTGACAGACAAAACAAGGTACTTTTTATTTAATTTTTTAATTAGAAGAATGTAAACAAGACACTCTTTAGCATGCTTTTTAAGATACTTCATCTTATTGATGAAAATTTATTAAAAATCACAATCAAGAGACATAATCATTAAATAGTATGAAATTTATCAATTTTTTGTATTTTTTTTAATAATTTTTAATCAACTAAGAAGAGTGTTCAAAAGAGTGTGTCTCTAACATTCTTTTAAAAAATCTTCTAATGTTGGAGTAGATCGGGAAAAAACAATTAATGTGTAATGATCAAGATTTTGGAATAGTATTTAGAAGTCTCTATATCTCAATTCACGAATACAGATATAGTTGTCATTAAAAAGAAGTCATTTGAAAGGACCATAAGGAATAAAACTTCCAATACTCCAATCATGTGATATTAATAAAACAACCATTACAAAATTCTTTCTCCAATGTTTGTAATAGTAGTTGAGTCGCACTTGTCGTCATTGGTATTGCTCAAATAATTCGAAGTTTTCAATTCTTCTTATCAAAGTATTAAGAGAATTATGTTTAGATGGTACTAATAACATTATTTAACACACTCTTAACATACATTAACATTTTTTTTTGTATATACTGTTGAATATCCCAAATAACATGGAGAAAAGTAGTCTTCTATTCCTACATTAAGATTATTATTACAAAAGATTGGTTAGTTGATATTATGATTAGATTAGTTAGTATTTAATATAGTTTTTTGTAGTTAGTATTTGATATTGTTTTAAGTGATTGCCTATATGTATAGAGGCAATTAAACTTTTCTTTTATGAAATGAGATTTTTTTCTTTCAATATAGTATATGTTAAAAGACAATTCTCTCATCTTCATTTGTTCCCTTTGAAACCCTAAACATTTCACCATAGCCATTGGTACAAAATTTTTCCTTTGAAGTCTTCAACAACATCCATGGCGATCATAATTGGTTATTCTCAAAATCTTTCAAATGTCTACTGCATTCATCCTAACAAGAACCCATCTCTCATCCTTGTTTCTCTACCTCTTGATACTTCTAATTATCATGATTAGTAAGGATCCATGTTTATGTCTCTTCAACTTAAAAATAATTTTGATTTTGTCGACGATTCCATCAATAAACCTACTCTCGATGATCCTAACTTCTTTGTTTGGAAGAGATGTAATTTCAATTATTCTTTTTATGGTTCATCATTTCATTTCATCAGAAATTGCTTCAAATATTCTCTGGATTGATGATGCATCTGTTGTTTGGAAAGAACTTTGTGATTGTTTTTCCTTACATGATTTGGTCCGTATTTTTTTTCAACTTCATTCAAATGTTTATTCTCCCTGACAAGGTGATCTTAAAGTGACTTCTTATTTTACTAATGATGACATCATGCCAATGGTGTCAATCCAAAATGAGTCAAGAAGAGTGGACTATACTTGAAGAAGAAAGCCATTCATGTTGAGATTTGGGCCACTTATAGTAGTCTACTTTTTCTTATTTGTACATATTTTTATTTGTAAATATTTTCTTAATTTTAAATTTTTATTTTTTGGTCAAATAGTATAGGTATTTATTTTCTCGTAATTTTTTTAGGGATGTATTTAGTATTTTAGGGAGGGTGTAGCTAGTATTTGGTATATGTGCTAATTGGACTTGTCTAGCCTATGATAGAGTGGAGAGTCATATCTCTATCATGGTGGACGAAAATTATGGTCTCACATACTCTCTCATTTGTTCACACATCACCACCAAGCCACATTTCACACATTAATCACACTTTTGACATGCTTATTTCTACACCCCCTTTTCTACTAACACACCCTATCACACCTTTTGCACTTTATTATGTGACAAGATTTTATTTGCTCTTTTAGATCTAGGATGTTGACATTTTTAGAAGAAAAATTCAAATTTGAATTTCAAAGTTAAACTAGAGTTAGTTGACCTTAATACAAGTTAACCTTGGTTACACCTAATCTTGTTTAGGTTAACTTGCATCACTAACTACTAAACTCTATAAGGCTTCCTTAGGTATATTTTGTCACTTTGATGCTTGAATGAGATTTGAGATTTTCCAAACTATCTCTTTAAAGTCATGTGCCTTCCTTGGAGAATTTTCTCCAAAAGAATTTTTATCAAGGAATTCTTCCTTGTGGTAAGTTTCTCAATTCTTTCTTATCTTCTACTTGGAAGTGGAAAACCATACACTCTTCTTTCTATCCATATTTGCTTGAGTTCTTTTACATTTGGAGCCATGGATGAGGATTAGAAAAGACTATGGAGAATTCAACAATCTTCTTCATAGGATTTTCCATCATTTTGGTATCAAAGCCTTGGTTTCATCAATGGAGGTTTCTTTTACATTTTTTTCATCATGTTCATAGATGCTTACATGTCTAGTGAAGTTTATGTTGTATAGATCTAACTTTGTATGCTAATTCTATTGATCTATGTTTGTCTTGAAAAATTTGGTTCAAATTTTTTTAGATCTAGTATTCTATGAACCAAACCTTGTATAATTTTAAGATTCATGTTCTATGTGCTTTTACTCTTCAATTTGATATATGTTGTGTTGTGTTTGAAAATATAAATTAAACTTCGTGTAGTTTAGCTTTGATTTTGAAATCAATGCAAAAACATGTTTTCTTAGATTCATGTTTAGTCCTTGTTTGTGATCACTTCTAGTTGATTCATTTTTGTTATTTTTTTTGGTTGAATGCGATTGTTAGATTTTATGTTTATAATCTTTGAAATCATACATGTTATTAGATCATTAACATGTCTAGCAGAGTTAAGTTTCCTCTTGTCTGGTAGTTTTCACTATTTCTTGTTTATTCTAAATTTTTGCCACTCAATTTGAATTAAAATTTGGTGAATGAAACAAAAACATTTTTTGTTGTAGTAAATGTTATTTGAACTTGCTATTTTGAAGTTCACAAACTTTCTAGAGAAAAACACAAGTGAAAACAAACTTTACCTCAAAATTTCTTACCAAATTTTGGTTCATTTTGAGTTTCTATTTCTAAATTTCTTTGCAATTTTAAGTTTCTCTTCTTAGGAACATTTGCGACAAAAATTTACAACATTATCAAAAGAAAAAACGTCACAAATTTGCTCCAAAATAAAAGAAAATAAAAGTGTAACAAAAATAAAAGAAATAGAAAAAAACAATACAAGAAAAAAAGAGAAAAATATTGTGTAAAATAAAATATATGAAGCATTTGTCAAAAGAAAAATTCGAACTAATTTTGTAACATTTTATTTGACTTAAATTTGCATTTAATTTGGAAGTGGATTTTAAGTCTTTATTACTTTCGCAGTTCAATTCTAGAACCTATCCTAAGAATTCTCCTTTGAGTTCTAACTTCCAAATCTTACCTTAATTTTTAGTTTGTCTAATTGTTTGACATTATTTTAGTTTTGCCATATTAATTCTATTAGAGTTTAAATAATTTTTAATTGTGCATTTATTGTTTGTCTCCTAAAAGTTCTTTAGTGTTGTTTATTGTGTTAATCTTTCAAGTGAAGATAAACCAAGACACCTCGCCACAAGATAGTATCTTGAAATATTAATAAAGGCTTAGGAGAATTCGCTCCTTAGTTTAGACTAGCTTTAGAGAGCCTTGAAGATTAAACATCAAGAGAGGAGTGACAAGCACTAGAAGACCTTTTACACTAATGAGTTTCTTCATTGTGTAGGAGAAGACTTAGAGATTTCAAGACTTGTTTTCATTTCATTTTCTTTAAATTTCTTTCTTGTAAAGGCCTTTTTCATTTGGCGTTCTAAGTGCAACTAAGTAACATAAAGCAATTGAGCAATATAAATAACTTATCAACTTTAAGCAGCTAAGCAATATAAACAACTAATCAACTTATAATAATTGAGCAACATAAACAGTCGAACAACTAATCAATTTAAAGTAACTGAGCAACATAAATAATTGAACAATTGATGCTTCGTCACACATATTAACTCATGGATATCTCCTACAACTTAATAAGTAGTCTAAGTGGCATGACCCTATTGAATCACAACAGTTGATATAAAAAAATATAAACAATAGTTGGTATAGTAACCAACAACAACGACTGGCATGGTGACTGAAATTGGTTCCTCGGGTTTTTCCATTTATACTAATAAAGTTCAGTATTCAATTTAGGGATTTAACCCCCAACTTTGTACCTTACTCATTGGCCACTTATGACAAGTATGGTTCAGTATGTTACTATACTATTTTCAACATAAAATCATAGAGGAGACAACTTTAAAAATAAATTTTCAATCAAGAGGTAACTTACTCATTAATGAATTTCAACTTTGGGCTCTCACAACACTAGAATTTATATTCACAAAATGTGATATTTTAATTTCTAAAACAAATTTTCTCTCCTCTAATTTTTATACAACTTTCAACATAAAACACGTAATACATGCATACATCACAACTTAACATCATTCAACATACAACTTTCAACTTAAGCAATGTGTACATCTTTATACAATATCATACATCACCATATGTTATAAGAGAATTAACATATATCATTTATAACATGTAATTATCAACTTAATTACCAATATCTCATCAATAACCAATTTAAAGAGATAAAATAAAAAACATGGGGAACTTGTTGG